AAAAAAAAAAGTTGCGGCCGTGAAAACTCACAAAACAAGAAAAAGAAACAAAGCTCTGGAGGTGATTGCAGCTCTATACATTCCCGAAAGTGTTAGTGTGAGTGTGCCCTCGGTGAGGGCATCTCAGCCCCGTGGCCAGGTTGTCAGATTCCAGAAACTAAAAAAAAAAAAAAAAGGACAAGACCAGGGATTTGGCCGTGTAAATGGCAAGATACATTCCCATAAGTGCCAGTGTGATCAGGGTTACAATCCTCTGAGGGAACACAGCTTGAGAAGATCACGGAGTCAGATTGTCAGATTCCAGAAAAAGAAAACAAGAAAAAAAAAATGAAAACACGGATTCGGCCTTGAAAACGGTTGGATACATGACCCTGACAATCATCTGAGGGAACACAGCTAGAGCAGATCATGGATTCCGCCCTGCCTCGTTGGCAAGGGGCACATAACAAAAAAAAAAGAAATAAAAAAAAAGAAAACAACAAGTTCAGAATGTGACCGTCTTTGTTGTAAGATGCATTCAACACTGTGAGCACGGCCTCCTGGAATGTCCTGCCCGACATCATTGCAGTACAAAGACCTTTTTTTTTTCAATTTTCTTTCGTGTATGGGCAAAAGAAAAATACGATTTTTGGTACATTGCCGACCCTGTGTCCGAACCCCGAAAACTTCGGGCACTGGCCAGCATCTTGTATTTTCCCAACACTGGGGAAGGTACTGGTGGTTTAATAGGAGTGTCTAACGAGCCCCAAGGTGGCACATTTTCAACGGTGGACTGACGCACAAGTGGGTTCTAAGGGGGTGAAAGTTGTTAGGGGACTGGTCCATAGTGTTTTTACGGACTGCCTACAGCTATTGCTCGTAGAACCGGTGCGGTAACAAAGTTGGACTACGCGGTAGCAAAGTTGGACCGGTCCTCCCTTGCATGTGAACTGCAAAAGGGGTTAAACCACCAGTCTATGTGACCCCCACGGCTGCGGATCCTGCGGCCTCGTCCGCGGCTGAGGAGGCCGGCCGCTACCCCGCGCCGCCCACGGCCTAGACCGCGCGGCCGAGTAACTTTGCGGCCACGTCACGGTCAGGCGGAGCCGCGCGCCCGAAAACGGGGCGTGCGCATTGCCTGCACATGGCGTCCCCCTCCGGAAGCCACTAAAAAAATTTAAAAAAAAGTGAAATTTGGGGGGGGGGGGGGTTGGTGTGTGACAAAGAAATTTAAAAAAATAGAAAAAAAATAAATATTGATTGATTGATTGCTTTTCTGATTGATTGATTGATTGATTGATTGATTGATTGATTGATTGATTGATTGATTGATTGATTGATTGATTGATTGGTGGGGGAGGGGTCCTCCCTCCCCTCCCCCCGGCACACACACACACACACACACACACACACACACACACACACACACACACACACACACACACACACACACACACACACACACACACACACAACCAATTTTTATGTCTGTCTGTTTTCCTCTTGTTGTTTGTCCTCCCTCCGATTTTTTCCAAGTATTTTTTCTTACCCAACTGAGCACCCTTAAGTAGTGCCAAACAGTCGGTGGTTC